ATACACAGAGTCACTGTTCTGGCTGTTTATTTAATTAACATGACAGCCCGGCACACACTGTTTCTTTCAGCTCTACAGTTTTAACCTTTTTACACTTTAGACTCAATACAGAAAGAGTAAAATGACTGTTTTCAGTCCTTCCAACCTCGGTAAATTTATATAGATTTGCTGACTATTTCTGTCAGCTAAAACGGTCTTTCGGTATGCTTTAAATATCTGTATTCACGAAGTTGTTTTTTTTTTTTTTTAATCATAATTTTAAAAATCACAGGAAAACAAAACATTATTTTTCTTCACCTTTCCCCAGGGGACAAGAAAATCTTGTTTTGCCTTTCCAATCCTTTCAAAAGTTGACGTTACTTAATTTTAATTCTGTCACCAAGCCATAATCAATATTTCTGTTTGTAACATCATAAACTGAGGGATAATACTAAAATATGATAGAAGCCAATTTTGAGGTCCATTATTCCTAAAATTTATTCAATATGAGAAATATAAAAAAATATATTTAAGAATTTAAAGTAAACTACAATCTGTATGTTCAGGAGAATTAGGGGTGTGGCTCAATGATAGCTTGCTTGCCTAGCACATGGGGTCCAGAATTCAATACTCAGGGCCACCACAATGATTATTTTTGTTTTGTTTTTTTTGTTTTGTTTTTTTTTTTTTTATAATTTCAAAGAAACTGATGTTCTACTAAAATTGCCTCCAGGGCTGGTGAAACAGCTCAGCTGAAAACAGTGCTTGCCACCAAGCCTGACGATGTGAGTTCAATCCCCAAGACCAAATGGTGGAAGGTGAGAACAGATTCCACCTCTTCCACACACACTATGGCACACGTCACCCACAAACACACACACAAAATTTAAATTGTAATTTTCAATGCTCCTCCAAATTTGTTTCAGAAGAAATGTTTATGTTTTATATCTATACTAGAAAAGCCATCAAGTTCTACTTTTTTAACCAATGGCATAAGAAAGCCTATCATTTGGTGATTTTCAACAGAAACCAGATTATTCGATTTTTGTTTTCTTATCTGCTATGGGGCTTGAAAATGTCTTTCTCACACCAGTGACTCAAAACTTGATTCTTCTTAGATAACAAACTTAAATTCTGATGAAATTAAATTTCTGGATGCTAAATATTCTTAATTGAGGGCTTACAGAAATAGTCACAGGAAACTTTGGTTTTTAATTTAATAACACAAAGCATATAGCTCATACACTTCTGACTGGAACTGTGCCTATTACAAAGAATTTTTTCATTAAAGTGGTTCAAATGCATTCATGGGAAGAGTCAGATGGCTTGTATTGATTTCCTACGAAACCATATGTAAAAATGATATTAAATTCTTGGGGCTGGGGAGATGGCTCAGCAGTTAAGAGAACTGGCTGACTGGGGTTTGGTTCCCAGCACCCACATAACACCTAACAATGGTCCATAACTCTAGTTCCAGAGGACCCGATACCCTGTTCTGTCCTCTGTGGGCCTTCCATGTACAGATGCACATACATACATGCAGGTACTTACACTCATACACATAAAATGAAAGTAAATAAGTAAATAATTAATTTAAAATATTAAATTTTAGCACAGAACTAAAATAAAATTGCACTTGGTTTGGAAACTTTCAAAAATGAATGGTTAGGCTGAATTCAATAATTACGGAGAAAAAAAGCAAGCATTTTCTTTTATGCATAAAGAGAATGAAAAGACATTTCTTAAGTACTTTTCAAAAGTTAAAGTTTGCATATGTAAAATTTTATGTTGAGCTGGGCGTGGTGGCGCATGCCTTTAATCCCAGCTCTCTGGAGGCAGAGGTAGGCGGATCTCTGTGAGTTCAAGGCCAGCCTGGTCTACATAGTGAGTTCCAGGACAGTTGGGGCTACAGGGAGACCCTGTCTCAAAAAGAGCCCCCCCCAAAATTTTTTTATTTGAAAATAACAATTGTTAATCACCCATGATGCTTAATAAGTCAAAAAATGCTAGGTACCCCTCATATTCGATACTTGCAGGAGTAAAGAGCTGACAGGGGTCTGCCATCAGATGTGAATATGCACTTCAAGAAGATGCATGCTTTAGTAGACTCCAACCTTCCTAGCACCACCAACTACAAAGTCCAGTTTGGCACACTCATCTCAAAAATCAGCCTCAACCTGGAGGATACCGGGCTGGCAAAACTGAACCACAAAGATACTGCAACCTAGTTCCTTGTCTGAAGGCACTTTCACATGCCTCCGAACACATCCAGTGCCTGATTCCAGCTCTGACCAAAGACTAAACCTACTTCCCCTTTCTTTGGTGGGAATTATCTGTGTTAAAAACTCCACTGTACATGGAATATCCCAACTGTAGACTTTATCATTCTAGACCTCAGGGGAGGGAGCGAAAGAACGCTTGTCTTTGAGAATTTTATACATTTTTTTTTGTCCCTTTAGAAATGAAAATCACTGATGAGAGAGACTTCACAGTAGTGGCACTGCCATCCCGTGTTCAGAGGAAAGTTCTGAGATCCTCTCACCTTTAAACTTCACAAGCAGATTCCCAGGAAGGCTCTGTCCTTTGGGCCCCTCCTTACTATTTAAAACTCACTTGTTGCCTATGAATGTGACCCTCACAGGAAAGCAGAAGTTCTTTCAGAAAAGGACTCACCCAGCAGCATTCAGGGAGTGGTCTGTATTGCTTTTACAATTATTTTGATTCTGGACTTGGTAAAGTATGCAAATGACCATGTACCCTTTGCCCCTTAATCAGAACTTCTTCCCTTCCTTGTGATAAAAAAGATAAGGCATTTACTCTATGGCCTCTGACATTTTCACACAGTTCAGCCAACTTGTAAGATACCACCAGCCATCTCATTAGATACTAGCCCAGGCTGGCCCCACCCAGGCCCCATAATTTTGCTCAGCAACAACTTTAATGGCTCATATATAAAAACCAGTTTCCAGTGAGCACACCTTCACCCAAGCCTTCATGAAAACATTAAGGCTCTAAGTTGCTGCTGAATGTCGCCAATGGCTTTCTACCCACCATATAAGATTTTTGCTTGAGAGTCTTCTTCATGAACACAGCCTTTAATAAAACAATTAACAAAGAAAGTCATCAAAATAGATTACAAATATGCATTCTCAATAGGACTCAGCCAAACATTTAACTGCCGTGCTCTGTGATAGCTTTATAAACCAACAGATTATTCCAACTTTTCATTTAAAACAAAAACAAAAAAACAGAAAACCTATAAAAATCCATGTGTTCATTAGCAAGGCTGATCAATTCACCTGGATACCTTCTTATCGTAAATCCACACCTAACTTCTTAACTCCCTAAAACGTTACTATGAAGTCTTGGGAATTTAATTTGAAGGCCAAACAGTATTAACGTGGAGTCAATTTACTTCCGATTCAATCAGATTTTTCCTATACATTAGGGTTCAGTTTTTGCAAGAACCGCATCTTGTTTCCCTGTACAATATACTTAATTCAACTGTTTTTTCATTCAAAAATACATTCTCGCCTATGAGTATCCATGAAAAAGGTTATGCTTTTACAGTCATCACTTCATCCTTCAGTACATAGCTTACTTTATTCTAATTATCTCCAGATTTCTACTCAGACTAAGTATCAGTCAGTGGTGTGTCTCTTAGAGCAAGCTTAAGGCCAAGAAACAGTTGTTTTATCTAAACAAAATGCTAAGTAAATACATTTGTTTTTAAATAATCACAGGGACTATGAAGCAGCTACCCAGTCTAAGTAATGTCAAGGAGCCACAGGTCTGTGCAATCAACTCCATTTCAGAAACAAACTAGCCACTCACACACCATATGGCGACTGCTATTTATTAGAAATGCAGTGATGAGTACCCCCAGCATACCCTAAAAAGAAAAAACTTGCCATACAATAAGGCCAGTCTCTCACCCCTAAAGTTACTTTGAGCATACCATGGGCAGGCCTATGTTTAAATGGTAAAAGTGTAAATTTCCATCTGCAGAAGCAGCTTCTGAAGCGCCTTCCTCAAGTGTCAAGTCTCCTCCTTGTAGAGAATTAACGGAACAGAACTCAGGTACAACTTGTATTTAAAATTGGAAGTGGTTTCATGTGCTGCAACCATTCCACATTCTTAAAACACTTAATGACATTAAAGAGATTCAGCCCACCACGCGCTCCATCAACTAAACTTTTCAATCTACAGCTTCACTCCTAATTCAATTCCTCTACTGGCCATCTTAGAAAGTCAGAATTATTATTTCCTCTAAAACCTGAATTTGCATTTCTATAACACTCAGGAGAAAAGGTACTTTTTCTTGAATTAACAATAAAAGCTTAACTTCCAATTTTGAACCACTCTAAAGTTCACATGTATCATTCCCCAAGTGTAAAAGTTATGTTTAAGGTACAACACACTGGTGTGTAATAACTAAATTATATTTAAAATCAAAGTGGCTCCTAACATATACATTCTCCCCAGATAAAGCTACACTGAAAAGGTAGAAAGTGCCACTATTTCACCTTCAAGGGCGCCTTGCTGGCTACAGATTTTTTTTTTTTTTTTTTTTTTTTGCTAGTTTTTTTGTGTTTCCTCACCGCTTGATTAAAAAAAAAAAAGTTTCATTATCTTTTAAATGAGACACAGAAACTAGAAAATTTGTTGAAAAAGCCGCTACTTCTAATGAATAAATCTAATTGCAAAAGTTCAGGAGAGTGAGGTCTGTTAGAATGCAGAGAAAACACACCAGGTGTAGAAGTTTGAAAAGGTGGCCCAGCCGTGGAAACTCGCCCACTGCTACTTCATTTTGCTACTTCCATGGCTTTACTATTGGGGTTATAAAACACTCCACCAGACAGACAGACAGACAGACGAAATCCGCGTTCTTACTGAGTGTAAAGTTAGACTCTTGCAGACTGGCTTCCCTGAGTGGCCAGCATGGACTGATTCCTTCGTCCACGCTGCACCGCCTGCTGACTGTTTCAAGTTGCCCCAAGAAAGGGGCAGCCTGGGCTTACCTGCTCCCTGGGGATACAGGGCAGCGAGGTCCTCCGATGCGACTTGCTGCTGCAGCCTGACATCTCGCCGGCCACCACAGAGCTGGACCGCCTCCTCCTCTTGGGGCCCGGGATCTCTTCCTTGATCCTCAGCTGGGACGCACAGAGCTCCCGGGGAGGAGCCGCCCTGTCGGACTGCGGCAAGATCTGCTCGGCGTACCTGGCCAGCAGGAGCCCCAGCACGCAGGCCAAGTACGCCAGGTAAGGTCTCCAGGCGACCTTGAACCTCTCCAAGGACAGCAGGGCCACCGTCCTGAGCGCGCTAGTCCCGGCGATCATGAGGACGCCCAGCCGCAGCCGCAGCCCCAGCCATGTCGCGGCGGCCAGGCAGCCGAGCAGCAGCCCCGCGGCGGGCAGCGACGGCAGGCGGGCGTCCCCGACGCCCAGCGCGAGCTGCAGCAGCGCTTCCCCCGCGCAGCAGGCGGCCAGCAGCGCGACGGCCAGAGGCAGGCGCACCCCGGCGCGCAGGAGGCACAAGCCCATCCAGAAGAAGGCGCAGAGCAGACTGAGGAGCAGCGCGGCGGGTTGCAGCCAGGGGCTGGGCGCTGCACCGCCCCCGGGAGCACCTCCCCGAGGGCCCGGGACGACGCCCCCTCCGGCTCCGCCGGCCGCTCCCTCCTCCTCCGCCGCCGCCTCTGGACTGGGCTCCAGCCCTCCGACCTCCCCGCCGACCAGTCTCACCAGCAGCGCCAGCAGGAGAGACACGGAGCCCGCGCACAGCGCGGAGGAAAGTTGCCGCGAGCGCCGGAGCGGCTGCAGCCCCGGGGAGCCCCGCGTGGATGGAGGGGACGCGCGGGGGATGGCCACCCTGGCTGGACTCGACCCTCCCGGGCCGGGCTGCTGCCTGTCTCCGGGCACTGCCATACTATGCGCTCTGCAGGGAGACCCCAACCTGGTCCCACGCGCGCGTCCTGGCGCTTCCGGAGCCCTCCCTAGGAATCCCTCCTCCTTCTCGCGGATCCACGCAAACTTTGAGCTTGCGGAGAACTCCCCGGGGCGCCAGCTGCTCCTGGAGACTTCAAGTTTTCCGCTGGCAAGCTCAGCCATTGACTTTTCTCTTTCCCTTTGAACAAATCCCCCGCTACACCCGCAGCCCGAGTTTACATCCTCCGGGGTCTCTTCCTACTTCGGGATTTTAGCAACTGCCCAGTGCGCACTGTGGCCAGGGCCACGGATGCCCAGGAGCCAGGGGCACAGGGCGATCGCGGGCCATCCAGGGGCTGCTGAGCGCCGGCCCTCTGCAGCTTCCCTCCCTGCACCGGTCTCCCGGGGTCGCTCTCTCTCTCTCTCTCTCTCTCTCTCTCTCTCTCTCTCTTTTCTCTCTCTTCTCTCTCCCCATCACTCTCCCTCTCTCCTAGGCCAACCAACCCCCTTGCAGCCCCAGCACATAGACCTCCATTCCTCGGGATAGAAAGAACGGCTTCCCCTGTCTCTATATGTTCAGCTCATGGCAAAGAATCGGGGGCAGGGGGTTAGGAGAAAGTGGCTGTGAAATAATCTAGAAGTTCCAAAGGAGAGAGGCAGCCTGAGAGGAGAGGCAGCCGGAGGGAGGGAGAGGAAGAGCCTGAGCTAGAGAGGAAGGGAGGGAGAGAGGGAAGGGAGGGAGAGAAGGAACAAGAGGCTGGCTTTTGTTTGTTTCTCTCTCTCTCTTTTTAAATTTTTTTGTGATGCAAGGATACTGTTTTGCAGTTTTGCAGAGGAGAAGCTAATGGAGATGAGTGCTTGAAACTATAAAACAGGCAGCCCTCTGTTCCGCGGGCTTTAAGGGAACTCCCTTGGAGAGCTCGCTCGGCTGAGCCCACGCCCGGCGGCCGCAAGAGGCGCTGCTCCCAGCTGGACTGCACCTTTCAGGAGCTGGGCCCTCCCTGTGCTCTTAAAGGGGGGATGCTGTGGCCAGCAGGGCCACCAACCCTGGGGTGCCCTGGTCTGCGCCTGGCCCTGAGACTGAGCCTCTTAGAAGGCTACGGGATGAATGCCGAACTTGTCATCCAAAATGGCACATCTACTCTCTGAGTAATTTAAAGATGCAAAGATGCTCTCTAGTGTTCAAAGACAACTGCAAACCAGCTTCCTGTGGCTCTGTCACTCTCTGTGTGCTCCAGATGGAAGGTCTGCTTGCAACAGGAGCCACGCCTGTCTTTTAAAATTATGTTTCATTTATTTTATGTGAGAGCTTGGAGGTCAGAAGACAACTTGCTGGAGAAAGTTCTCTTCAACCCAGTGGGGTCCGGGAATTGAATTTAGCTCCTCACCCTTGACTGCAGATACCGTTAGCCACTAAGCACAACCACACGTGTCTTGTTTATTGACACGATGAAACAGTCTCCAAATTCTCTAGACTACGAAGACATTCAAGAGAAAAGGGACAGAGGCAGCATATATTAAAAAAATAATAATTAGAGGGCTGGAAAGATGGCTCAGTGGTCAGAAGCCTGTATTGTTCTTGCAGAGAACCAGAGTGCATGTGGTTCCCAGCACCCACATCTGGTGGCTCAGTACTCAGAACCAACTGGAACTCCAGTGCCAGAGGATTTGATGTCCTCTTTTGGACTCACACATGCACATACCTGTGCCTCCCACACACATACACATAATTAAAAATAAAACACACCTTTTCTAAGTAAAATCCCAGCTGAGTGTGATGGCCTCCTGCAGGCAGTCAGCATTCAGGAGGCTGAGACAGGAAGAAACGTGAGTTAAAAGCCAGCCTGCGCTACATACATACATAGGGATTACAAAAGATGTGCAAGCATCAGTCAACACTTGCTGGCTGTTTATGGTAAAATTATGCTATTAGCCTAACCGTACTCCAAGATTGAGCACAGAGTTGGGAATTCCAGATGGTGAAACACATCTTTGAGCAAAGCACATGCATTATTTGCGAGTACACATTTATACACCGTAGTATGTGGTATGTGCAAAGCTAAAGAGAAAAATTCAAGCTAACTGCTTCGGCAGTTTATGAAAACAGCTCACTGCCTGTTCATCAGGTTTTAAAAGATGTTGCCATTATCCTTGGGAGCTGGTGCCTTTTCATCTTTATTTAAATTTTTCAATTATTTTTAATTTATGTATGTGAATGCTTTGCTGCATGTAAGTGCATCCCTGTGTGCAATACCTGTAGGAGTCAGAAGAGGGTGTTGAGGGACTGGAGAGATGACTTAGTGGTTAACAGCACTGGCTGCTCTTGCAGAAGACAGTTCAAATTTGAGCACCCTCGTGGTGGCTAACAATCATCCATAATTCCAGTTCCAGAGAATCTAATGCCATCTTCTGTCCTCCATGGGCATTGCACAACATGGGTGCTCTTATACACATGCAGGGATAACACTCATACACATAGAAGAAAAATATATATAATAAAGAATAGAGTACTGGATCCCCCCTGAAACTGGAGTTACCGAGAGACAGCTGTTAGCCACCATGTGGGTGCTGGGAACCAAACCCCAGTCCTCTGCAAGAGCAACCAGTGCTCTTAACCACTGAGCCATCTCTCTAGGCCCGTTAGCGTCTTTTAAAACCTGCAATAAAAATGTCCACTCTTGCTCAGCGTAAATACAGTTATCTCAGATGTCATTTTCCCTCACGAATAACAAGAAGCCAATTCTGTCTCAATTATCCTGGCATTCCAGGTTCAAGTGTGTTCCTAGCCTGGCGTATTCAGATAATTGGCTCAAAACACCCCTGCATTTTGTTGTGTAGAGATGAAGAAATAAAATATGCCAAAAGGAGATAGGTTAAATAGAATAAATTCATGAGAGCAGCAGAAGGGTTTTAAGTTGTAGACTTTTTTTTTTTTTTTTATAGGAAACTGTGCAATGCAATTTCAGGCAGGTATTTGTAACAGCATCATGGCATAAATGGATGGGAGGCAGGTGACCATGCAGCTAGCCTCTCTCTTTTACATGTCCAGAATCGTGCTACCACCCAGGAGCGCTTGTTGGGCAGGTAGTTGGTGGCTCCATCTGTCTAATAATTAAGGAAACAGGAGCAGCAATGTCTTTGCCAAAGACAAATGCGCCCACTACCATGCACACACTTCCACGAGTCTCCTTTTCAGACCTGATTCATATGCCAGAGCTCACCTGGGACACTAGAGAAAGAACCTTGACGTTGAGATAGTGTATGAAGTTGGGAAACTGTCAGGATCTGGGCCCATGTTGTTAAGGCTAGGGAAAAAAAAACAAACAGTAAGAATTAAAGAATATTTCCGTTCTCTCTGTCTTCTTCCTCCACAGCTATGTTAGTTCTTTAGAGAAGATAGTATATCCTCATCAGACTCTTACAAAATTGAGAGTAGGCATTGTTTTAACAGTCTTAGAAGGGCTGGTGAGATGGCTCAGTGGGTAAGATACTTGCTGCACAAGCCTGGAGACCTGAGTTGATCCCCCAGAATCCACATAAAGGTAGAAAGAGAGAGAATCGAGTACACAGAGTTGTCCTCTGACTTCTACACACACATTGTGGCACATGCATGTCACACATACCAATTGAGAGTAGGCATTGTTTTAACAGTCTTAGAAGGGCTGGTGAGATGGCTCAGTGGGTAAGATACTTGCTGCACAAGCCTGGAGACCTGAGTTGATCCCCCAGAATCCACATAAAGGTAGAAAGAGAGAGAATCGAGTACACAGAGTTGTCCTCTGACTTCTACACACACATTGTGGCACATGCATGTCACACATACCATCTGTCTCTCTGTCTCTGTCTCTGTCTCTGTCTCTCTC